CCTCTGCCGTCCCCTTCTTCTTTCGCCATCAATCGTTCCCAGCATTAGGCTCTTCTCCAGTGAGTCCTTCCTTCTCGTTAGGTGGCCAAAGTATTTGAGTTTCATCTTCAGTATCTGGCCTTCTAGAGAGCAGATGTTTAGCTGTTTTAAACATTTGCTTTGAGTTGTTTTGTTTTTGTTTTTCAAGGAAGATATCTAAGAAATAATACAGTAGTAACAATATTCTGTATTGTTAAGTATCTCGTATGTTCTGTATCTCGTATTAAGGGGAGAGCTAAAGATGCAGTGCCTGCCCTGCTGAGCTTGTACAGAAAATCATTTTTCTTCTTCCCTCCCACTTTTCATTTCTTTTTTATGATATCCTTCCCACTCAGTTGCAATAAGAAAGAAGTCATATATGCCTTCTGGGAGGCTAACATAGTTTCCCCAGTTCCACTGGTGTTTAAAGGAATGGGAAGACTTCCACATGTCCAGCTCTGAACTTGCAACCAAACACCCTCTTGTTGCCTCTGGCAACATCAGAGAGGAAAGAGTTAGGAGTGGGGTTGAAGTCAGCTCTCTCCCTCAAAACTCAAATCTCTTTGTCCACACTTGCAAGGGGAGCTCAGGATGCCCAGGGACTGTGGCATTGCAGATTGACAAGAATAAAACAACATAAACAAACTAAATAATGAAAAATAGATAGATAATGAAAAAATAAATGATGTGAAGAAAACAAAACTGCCTGAGCAGAAGCAAAGATCTAACAACCAATAAAAATAAAAATAAATAAAAATGAGTTTGTATCTCAAAAAGAAAATAATTACAGACCACATTGTTTTAGGTAATTAGAATGCATTCTTCCAAACAGCTGAATACCTATGAAACACCATCCTAAATATGGCTCCACAGTTTGACAGGCCCATGCATCTTAATACATTTGCTAGTCTGCTTCATCAGATCCTAGCGCCTGTCGTGCCCTTCAACCTAATAGCCACTAATCATAAATCAATTTAGCATCACAGTTCTGGAAATTGAAGATATTAGCATTATGGGAGGATTCAGTAATTGGAACTGAGACCAGACAGTCTTACAGAGTGGGCATCACCCTGCCTGGTCCTCTCCATACATTCCCTTTCACTCAGAGCTGTGCCAGTCTGTTCCCCCCAGAAGAGGCACACCTGGAAGAGTGACTCTCACGGAAGCACAAAGTTGGGTTAGGAAGGGTTCACACACTCTGGCAGTTGTGCAGACCCCCTTTTAGCCCAAAGGTTGAACTCAGTTTCTGAGAAGATCTCCAGGGCTGCGTTCTGGTGGCGATTAGGCCTGAAGTTGGGAGGGGGGCAAAAATGCTTTCCCATTATAGCTAAAAGTTGACAGCTAGTAACTCAGTCTGAAGAGAGCGATTTTAAGGGGGAGTGGGGGGGGGAATCTCATGAGAATCTGGAAACCACCAAGCAAGAGGTGGTGAAGGGAAAGGGGGTGGTGCCCGGGAAACTCAGCAGATGGGATTGGGATCCCCAAAAGAGGCAGATAAATTTCCTGGGCTGGATAATGCTCTAGAAAAAAGATCTTTCACATGCAGCATTAAACAAATGGAGTAAAGATAGCAGTTATTTCTAACTGAGAGCCAGTATGCTGTGGCATTTAGAGTCTTGGAGTGAGTATCTAGGAGATCTGGGTTCTAGTCCCTATTCAGCCATGGAGCCAACTGGGTGACTTTGGGCCAGTCATGAATTCTCAGCCTGTCCTACCTCACAGGGTTGCTTTTGTGAGAATGAAATGGAGCAGGGGAGGTCTACGTAAGTTGCCTTGGGTTCCTCACAAGAGGAAAAAAGGTGGGATATAAATACAAAATAATAATAATAATTGGCCAGTATGCATATAACTAGCATGGGCAATGTTTGTGCAAATCTCTATTGGCATCCCCCTCCTCAACACACACACACACACACACACACACACACTTTTCTAGTAACACTTAGTCAGCTTGTGGCTACAGCAGGATTTGACTCAAGAACTTCCTAGACCCTTTTCCATCCATCGCCACTGCCCCTCGCAAGAAAACACATGGCATTGCATGTGAGGCAGGGCATAGCCTGGGCTTTCCCAGTGGCTGTGTTGGCTGGAGATGATGGTAATTGCACTTCCACACAATTGGGAGTGCCCCAGCTTGGGGAAAGCTGGTTTACTTATGAGCTAGTGTGACTTTTTCACAGCATGCACTTTTTCTCATCCAAATTGTCTTGGAGTTTCGCTTGGGGAACGGCAGTCCTGCTACACTCATGCATGGTTTCTTTCATGAAAAGGAGGTGGGGGAATCTAGGAGAAATCCAGCTACGTTCATAAATTCTCAAACACACCCACAGCGGAGGTCGATTCCACTGCCAGTTCCTTAATTTGTTGGCACTGCCATTGTGTAATGATGGCACAGCGAACAGCTGTTACTGACCTATCACACTGGGAAGCTGCGAGAAGAAACTTGCAAGCTTGGATATAAATAGAATGTGTTATTTTCAACTAATGTGACCCATGGAGCAGTTGTTCTTCCTTATTTCCAGGCTGCTTTTATTGAGAACTAAATTCAGCAATGCATAAAATATATAAAGGTTTAATAAAACATTAAAAATGGCACTTAGCAGAAAGAAACTAGTGGGCCAGCTACTCCCACCAGAACTTTAAATGTTTTTAGCTGTTAAATGCCATGTATTATGAATGCCTTCTTAAAAGAAAAGAAAAAGGGTGGTAGTGATGATGGGAAAAATACACACACACACACACACACACACTTTGTGTTACTCTTCACCCTGGTTTAATATACATTCATTCTTAATAGATGTGTAGGGTTTGGAAGCATCTGTGGTTACTGTTTAGAATCCTGTAGCCAGTACTCAGCATTATAGGATTAATAATGGATAAGCCTCTGTAATTGCCAACTATAGAATGGTTTGAGAAAAATTAGAAGGTTCCATAAACCTCCAGGTCTCCAGTCTGAATATTGCATAAAACTGAGCATATATTTACTACCCAGTCAGCTCTAATTACATAAAAACTGCCCAGCTGGATGAGAAGCAATTCCTGACTAATCCCATATTGTACCCCCAAGTGGGAAAAGGCATTTAGCTATGTGTTCTGCTCCCCCACTGAATTTAATGCAGCTTAGAAATGTCTGAGACCTATATGGAAAAAGATGCCCTTCTGCATGTAAAAATGCCTGGCAGCTTCAGTCCCCAGCATGTCCAGATAGGGCTTGGAAACACCTTTGTCGAAAATCCCAGTGAGTTGCCTGCAATTAGTGGAAGCCACGGCTGGGCAGAGGGTAATTTCCAGAAGTTCTAGGCTTTATCTCATAGAAGCACCTGCCAGCCTGGCTAATAAGCCATCAGATTGCTGGGAGCCAAGGTACAAGCCTTCCTTCCATTCCTGCTGTATATAACACTGAGCTAGGAGCACTTGTATGGTCTGATAATGCACCTAACTTCCCATGTGCTTCTTCACATGGACACACAGACACTACCTGGAAGTGCCTTCTGCCTCCAAACCTCTGTTAAGCCCCTGTAGAAGCAGAAGATGTTCAGGTTTAAGCTCCAGCTTACATGTGAGATTTTAATCGTTCTCTCAGTTTGATAGTTCTCTGGGGAGAACAGCTTAAAAGTCCAGGGAGAAAGGAACAGTAGCATAGGAATATAGAAAGCAGACTTATACTGAGTCTGACAAAAGCCTACCTAGTCCAGTATTGTCAATACCGACTGCCAGCAGTGGGTCTCCCAAGATTTTTTCCAGCTTTACTTGGAGATGCTGCAGCTTGAACCAGGAGCCTTTCGGTGTGCAGCTGTACAAGCTATTGATTCCGGTGTTCCTTTACTTGTGGAAATGGATATTGCTTGCTGTTTACCATGTAAAGAGAGGATTATGGCTAAGAAGATCCACAGAAGCCCACAATAAGTTCTGTGTGTCCCAAAGAGGTTTGATGCTGGTGTTTCTTGAATGACAGCATCCACCAACCTCCAACATTACAAGGCAAACCACTTTTCAAACAGAGGGGAGTTAGAAAAGCTATTTGTGATGTGGCCCAGGAAAGAAGGATCAGCCATTCAAGACTAAAAAGGTACACATTCTGTTAAACTCGGGCAGCTTTCCCCAGCCTGGTGCTCTGCGGATACTTTGGACTAGAACTCTTGGAGTTTCTAATTACTGACCAGGCAGGCTGTTGCTGATGGGAACTGAAATCTGAAACATCTGCAGGACCCCTTGAATGACAGCATCCACCAACCTCCAACATTACAAGGCAAACCACTTTTCAAACAGAGGGGAGTTAGAAAAGCTATTTGTGATGTGGCCCAGGAAAGAAGGATCAGCCATTCAAGACTAAAAAGGTACACATTCTGTTAAACTCGGGCAGCTTTCCCCAGCCTGGTGCTCTGCGGATACTTTGGACTAGAACTCTTGGAGTTTCTAATTACTGACCAGGCAGGCTGTTGCTGATGGGAACTGAAATCTGAAACATCTGCAGGACCCCCTGTTGGGAAGTTGAGATGGGGCTATGGTAGAAATGCACATAATAGGCCTGCCTTAACGAAGCTTGGAAGGCTTGGGTTTGGTCACTGCCTGGATGAGAGACTTCCTTAGTCATACCACATTTGCACTGTGCCAAACCATTTATGTTACACATAATAATTGAATCTACTGCCTATCTATGGAGAAGCAAGGCCCACAACGTTCAGGAGAAAGTAGGTACAGTATTGCAACTAAAAGCACAAGCCCACAGAAGTTGCCTAGACTAGTTCATTAGATCCCAGCTAATATCTTATTACTGTAATACATAAATATTTAAAATGTGGCTGTTACTTGGATCTAAAAATAAGCCCTTGCAGGTAGAGGGAAGAAAAATTGTGTGTGCGCATGTGCGCATGCACCACTGTGGTTTCATATGACCAGTTTTCCATAGTTTCTTGCTTGGATTTGGAAAAAAAAATGTAGGTCACTTCCTAACAGTGTGGTTTGCATTTTTGTTCTTGCAGACCACAACTCTGATTGGCCTTCTGAAGACAGCACGGCTATTGCGTTTGGTGAGGGTTGCCCGGAAACTGGACAGATACTCGGAATATGGTGCTGCTGTTCTGATGTTACTCATGTGCATCTTTGCCCTCATTGCACACTGGCTGGCCTGCATTTGGTACGCCATTGGGAATGTGGAGAGGCACTACCTGGCTCCTAAAATCGGCTGGCTGGATTCCCTGGGAGAGCAGCTGGGGAAACATTACAATCAGAGTGACGGCAGCTCTGGACCCTCCATCAAGGACAAATACGTCACCGCACTTTATTTTACCTTCAGCAGCCTGACCAGTGTCGGATTTGGAAATGTGTCTCCTAATACCAACTCAGAGAAAATCTTTTCTATTTGTGTCATGTTGATTGGATGTAAGTAGGGGCTCTTTTGCTTGTTTACTACACGCACACAATAATGAACCCAACTGTTTTATATGTTAAACATCCAAGAACAATTTAGGAAGAGAAGAATGGAAGGAAGCTCTCTATGCAGGGATGGGGGGTGGGTGAAGGCGTGGGTAACTCAGGCCATTTTTTCCTCACAGGTGCTTAAAAAAATACAAATCATCAGTGCCATTAGGAAATAATAATATCAGTTATGAAGTTGCCAATGCAGGCTCCATTTGACCCTTTGATGCTCTGTAGCTACTATAGAAGCCTGTTTTTAAATGAAACTGGAAGGGGTGGGGACCACAGCATAGGGCTGCATGCTGGATGTTACCCACCCCTGGCTTAGGCCGTTCAATAGCATTTCTATAAGGAAAAGCTCTTTTTCATATTGCTTTACACATAGAAATCTTGCCAAGGCTCCCTGTGCTCAGGCTTGCAACGTGTTTTCAGTGCTAAGGCACAGCAGCGGAATGCATGGATTATTTTAAACACAGGAGAATGTTTTTCCCTAAGCTATTGCAACACATCTACAAACTTGGGAATTGGTGTGAAGGCTTCCAGCACAACAAATGTGGATTCCAGATAAGCCTCAGTGTCGGCACTTCTATTTTTAGGAAATTAAGGACTGTCAAAGGCTTATTTATAATATCTCTAAGTGCCAGCTCTCATTTAGAATTTATGTAAAGGGGTCAGGTCAACTTGCGAGTTTGTAGCATAGTCATGTTTAAACCCACAGAGCTCAACTGAACTCCATCCCTAGCAAAGTGGTGCGTATTTGGCTCCCTGATTAGCTTTTCCTGGAGTGTTGGAATGTTCTGTGTGCCTTCCATTTTCTTGGCTTCTTTAGCAGTCTGGCTGAAAAATAATGTGTCCCAATGAACTTTAATTTTTTAAATAACTCTTGTAAGATGCAATTTTATCCAAAAGAGCCTTCCTACAAGCATTTCTATTAAAGGCAGGTTTTACTCCCCTGTATTTCCCTTCCTTCTTCCAGAAGTGCCCTGTACATTTTTGAAATGCTTGTATATCGGAATGAGATCTATTCTGTTAACAGTTTATAATTACTAGTTCAAGAAGATGCCAGGTTGCCCAAGTGTCCTACCTCATAGAGGACAGTCCTCTATCTGAAGACTTGTCAAAGGACTGTGCCCCATTTAAAGAGGTCTTCTACTTGGGGGGTGGGGGCTGTCAAAGGACAGTCTGTTGTAAGGTTTCTATTATTTTCTCTCCAGTCCTGCCCAAATCCAGTTCAAAGAGAAATTCAACATTTGTTTCTATACAGGCAAATGAGCATGTATTACGCAAACTTGACGCCTCTTTTTTGGCAATAAGTAACCACCCTCTAAGATACTCAGTATATCCTGACATAACCACCCTTTATACACATGAATTGTATATGGGTTGAGGTCTTCAGAAATGCCATATCCTTTCATGATCACTGGGTACTTAGGGAGATTGTGGAAGAACACAGCCCATCAAAGAACAACTGCCTAAATGCCATGTCTTGGGGAAGCTGTGGAAGCTCACTAAAGAACAGAGTTGCTGGAACTACCTGGGAAGCACCATCCTCCATACCATGGGGGCAGTCACCATGAGGATCCTCTTCCTTGTAATGACTTGCTGTGCCTCCAAGAACCCTGAGCAAAGCATCCGCAGTTGAACTTAAATCATTCGGGGGCATTTAAGAGAGAAGGCAGTCCTTATGCTTGGTTTTTTGAATAATCTACAACAGCCTTCCCCAACCT